AAAGGGAGGAAAAAAAGGGAGGGTATAGGAAGGGTATGGGGAGGGTGGGGTGGGGAAGGGAGGATTGGGGGGTAATTAGGTTCGGTCTGAGGAAGGAGACCAAAAGGTCTAATTCCTCAGACCAAGAGCCTCTTTGCCGTGCCAAGGAGCCCCCTTGAAAAGGAAATAAGTCATAGTATTGATATTAGTGTAATAAAGCATATCTCCCGCATCACGAGACTCGGGAATTCCTGCTGACGTAAGCAAATGTTCCCAGATGGTTCCTGATTGGCTCTCAGACTCCATAATAGCTCCACCCACTCAGTTATGATGTCAAATTGTGATTATATTAGAAAGAATAATAAAAGAAATAAATGAAAAAAATCAGAAAATTGACAACATGTGAGCATGCATGCCACGGGTGGCAGCGTCACCATACATGTATATGTTATAAATGACTATAATTCCTTGTAGGAATATAGTACAGCAATGATTCTTATACCAGAGTGTTGCCAAAATGTTTAGCTATTTTTCTAAACGATTAGCTCAATTTTCTTATTTTTTCGATTTTTTTTTTTACTTTGCATGCATTAGCCGCCCCTAAGTCGCTGATTTACACCATGGTCGCAGTTTTTTCTCATTATGCACTGCGTGCTGCAGGATTTTTTTTTATATAGTGCACACTTTCCACACAGACCTATTCTCTCATATGTAAGCCCAAGTTTACCTGTCACAGCTTCTGAGTGAGCTGAGCTCATGGCAACTGATAGTGGCTTTAAAGCCACCTTATTTTTTATGGATAATATACAGTGTATGTGCTTTACACAATGAGAAGCATTTCTTTTATTCGTTGGAACTATGGTTAAGGCTAAAAGTAAGCAGAATATAGCAATAAATGGAGAAAAATAAATTAGAATGACTTATGCAGCAAGTAGCACCACCAAACAACAGCAGCAGGTTGGTGTGGCGACCCCGGAAATTTGAAATTATGCTAGCCGAAATTAGTGCTGGATTACTGATAGAACCGGATTACTGATTGCTGGATTAGTGATGGCCAGCCTGTATTAGGAAAAGGTTCCTTGGTACAGTGGTACCTTGAGTTACGAACTTAATTCATTCCAGAAGGCTGTTCGAGTGCCGTTACCAAATGAATTTGTTCCCATAAGGAATAATGTAAATTAGATTAGGCTATTTCAGACCCCCAAAAATACACTTACCAAATCGCTTACAAAAATACACTTACATAATTGTTCGAGTTGGGAGCTGTTCAAAACTCGAGGTACCATTATATAAGTAATTTTCATCTAGCACTTGTCAGCTTACATCCATTACAGGACATGCTTACACAGTGTTCACTGTTTTATGTAACAATACTAATATTTTAAGTAGGAAGGTGCATGCACATACATAATTTTTTTTCCAGATATATCATGTTAAGAACTTGAAAACATTACCTAAGAATTCCATTTATGATATTACTTTGAGTGTACAAAATTAACTAATTAAAAATGGAAAAAAATATGTCTGCAGTAAATATGTGCAAAAATAAAACCATAAAAAAAGGGGATCATTCCCTAATACACGGGCAAATATAAATTTGTCAATTAAAAGAACAGATTCAATTAAAATGTATTTAAAAGTTTTCTATACCAAAAACGTTTAAAATTTTTTAAAACACATTTTAAAACGAAGGAAACTTTTAACCGTTCTTTGTTTCATGTGATCATGCATTTCACAAAGGGGCTAACAAAGCAAAGATAAAAGTGAATATTTATACAGTATACAGTACAACGAACTTCGATACCGCATTTGAAACTCCCTGAATATTTTAATTACAGGGAACCCTGGGGACTTTAACACCCCTACTCGAACAATTTGGTATTCGAAAAACTTTGTTCTTAAAAAAATCCCAGAGTTTTATGTTGCTTGCATTCAACCAAACAAACCGACTGAAACGAGGGTTTAAATTCCCCCAAAAAGGTTCAATTGTGAGAGCAGGTAAAAGTGGGCCCCGGTTAACGATATTTTTTCACTCAGAAATTGTCAGGTGCCAGTACTACCCAAAATTTTTCCCCTAAAAATACTTGAAATAGATTAGTCCATTTCAAACCCCCCAAAAAATACCTACAAACGCCTTACATAAATACACTTACATAATTGGGCGATTTAGGGAATGTTATGCGGGGGTCCCCGTATTTTAGAAAAAAAGCCAAACAAACCTATATTTCATGGGGGGAAAGTCACGCCCGGACCAGCCCTTTTAATAAAGGACCACCCCTTTTTTTTTTGCGGGAATGCAAATGGTATTTAAAATTTGAAGCTTTGCTTGTCTACACTTTAGACAAGCAAATTTTGTTTTTAGTTGTTTCTTTTTTTAGATTTATGCATACTAGGCTTGTAAACTTCATGTTAAAATACTTTTGTAAGTGTATTTTTGGGGGTCTGAAACAGATTAATCTAATTTATATTATTTCTTATGGGAAAAATTTGTTCGGTACTCGAACAGCCTTCTGGAACGAATTAAGTTTGAGTACCGAGGTTCCACTGTATATTCAAATTAATTTTTACAAAGAATATTTCTGAACAAGAGAGATTCGGGTGTAGAAAATCCAATGAGCATATTTTAAACAAAATCATATGGTTACTTTTTTTTTAATTTAGGGGTCTTGAGCTAAGCATAAAGAATATAATCAACATAAAATTATCCTTACTTTTCACAATCAAATAACACCCAAAAAATGTGAATAAGGTGGTACCTCGGGATATGAACTAAATTCATTCCAGAAGGCTGTTCAAGTGGCGATACAGAACAAATTTGTTCCCATAAAGAATAATGTAAATTAGATTAATCCATTTCAGACCCCCAAAAATACACTTACAAAAGCACTTACATAAATACACTCACATAACTGTTCGAGTTTTGAGCTGTTCGTATCCTGAGGTACCACTGTGTACCCTGCGCACCAACAACAATACCTGTGAACTATTTTGAAGCTGCTTCTAACCTCACAGCTCTGCCACAGACCAAGCTTTCTCACTGGGTGCCCAGTCAACATAGTAAATAGGCATGTACTACGACAGGTCTACCTGCATCTACACTCTGTACCTTTTTTTTTTTTTTCCTTAAAGGGGAGGGAGAGGGGAGTACCTGACATTGTACATAGTCCTGGTATCCTGATTGGTTGACTTCATCCTGCATTAGTTCAAGATCTTTGTTGATAACTGTTTGTAATTTTTCTACAATATTACTTAATGATGCTGCAGTTAGTAGATTTATCTATGTCTACTATCAGGATCAGGGTGAGAAACATACTTGGACTGTACCTTTGGGCACTAAACTTTTCACTCTGCAAAGACTGCATTTTCTTTTTGTTTGCTACCATACTTTGTGCTGTATGTTTTAAATCTGAATATCCACTTCCCTACTTTTCCTGTTATACCTATTGACCTTATTTTATGGGATATCACACTGTGGTCACATTTGTCTAATGCCTTTGCAAAATAAGAGTAGATCATCACATTTACTTTTTGGTTTTATTTCGAAGCCTCAGTGAGTTTGTCATAATGATGTAATAGTTGTGACAAGCATTATCTTCCTGCTATATCCATGTTGATGGATTGTGTTAGTACAGATACTCCCCTACTAACAAACAGATTCGGTTCTGAGCAGTCGTTCGTAAGTTCAACATATGTTTGTATACAGTATTGTAGTACAGTACATGTATGTATGAACATGGAGTAACCTAGAAGTGAGGAAGGAAAAAATACAAAAATACATTATGTCCACTTTTGTGTCCATTGTGATGGCCTAGTGCTTCTTAGCACTATTTCGAAGGAGGGGTGGAGGTGGGAAGTACAGTGACTGCACTCTGAAGGAGGGGTGGAGGCGGGGGAAGTACTGTGCTGCACTCTGAAGGAGGGCGTGGAGGCGGGAAGTACAGTGCCTGCACTCTGAAGGAGGGGTGGAGGTGGGAAGTTACAGTGCTTGCACTCTGAAGGAGGGGTGGAGGCGGGAAGACAGAACAGTGCCTCACTCTGAAGGAGGGGTGGAGGTGGGAAGTACAGTGCATCGCACTATAAAGGTAGGGGTGGAGGTGGGAAGTACAGGTGCCTCGCCTCTGAAGGAGGGTGGGGCGGGCGGGAAGTACAGTGCCTGCACTCTGAAGGAGGGGAGGAGGCGGGAAGTACAGTGCCTGCACTCTGAAGGAGGGGTGGAGGTAGTGGGAAGTACAGTGCCTGTCACTCTGAAGGAGGGGTGACGGCGAGGAGTACAGTGCCTGCACTATGAAGGAGGGATGGAGGTGGAAGTACAGTGCCTGCACTCTGAAGGAGGAGGTGGAGGTGGGGAGTACAGTGCTGCAATCTGAAGGTGGGGAGGTGGGGTTGCGGAATACAGCTGCTGAACTCTGGAAGGTGGGAAGTACAGTGCCTGCAATCTGAAGGTGGGAAAAGTACAGTGACTGCACTATGAGGTGGGGAAGTACAATTGCCTGCACTCTGATGGTGGGAAGTACAGTGCCTGCACTCTTGAAGGTGGGAAGTACAGTGCCTTGCACTCTGAAAGTGGTGAGAAGTACAGTGCATGCACTCTGAAAGGTGGGATGTAACAGTTGCCTTGCACTCTGAAGGTGGGAAGTAACAGTGGCCTGCACTCTGAAGGTGGGACTGTTCAGTGCCTGCACTTGAAGGTGGGAAAGTACAGTGACTGCACTCTTGAAGTGTGCGAAGTACAGTGACTGCACTCTGAAGGTGGGAAGTACAGTGACTGCACTCTGAAGGTGGGAAGTACAGTGACTGCACTCTGAAGGTGGGAAGTACAGTGCGTGCACTCTGAATGCTGGGTGGGATGTTGCAGTTTAGAAGTCCATCTGAAATATAATGTCTGTTTATTTCATGCACAATAGCTATTACATCAATGATGGTGAATGTGTATCCAATTTTGGGTGTTACTCTACCTTGGTAAGAAATGGCAGGTGAGGGAATTTTTTTTTTATTTTTCTTTAACTAAGTACACTACTCACCGATGGAATTCACAGCCTAGTTCCTTCCTTGTAAAATGCTTTAGATCAACCTCTTCTTTCTTATTGATAGTCAAGGAGGCTAACTTCAAAAAGCCACTTTTATAAATCATGACTTGCTTTTCCTTAAGAATGGACACCATCTCCTTAGCTTTTGGTGCACTCAGGTTACTTCGAGGGAGTAGGATGCTGTAATACCTCCTGAGAAAAAAAATTGATTTATTGATATCACTGTTTGCTCATCTAATTGTGTTTACTCAACGACCTGCAACCTACCTCTAAATAATCAACTCCTTCACCAGGAAAAACAAAAATGCACAATACAGTACCTGGAACAATACACAAATAACCTGCATATATGAGGAGCTTACAACGATGTTACGGTCTTACTTGAACCATTTACAAAGTCACACAAACAGAAAAAGAGGAGGAGGAGCCAGTATATATAGGCCAGCTGGCAGGGATGGGACAAGAGAAGTGGAAGGAGTAGTAGTGGTAGAGGTAAGGCAGGTAGAGGAAGTAGTAGTGGTAGTGTAAAGTAGGCAGAGTGGTGGGACAAGAATAGAAAAGGGGAGTGAAAGGCTGCAAAAGTGAAGGTAGGGGCCAAAGGAGGAGGTGGTGGTGCTAGTAGTTAGTTAGGTGGCGGTGGAGGTGGCAGCGACGGCGGCTCAGCAGCAGCAGTAGCAGTAATGGGGGTCAGTCAAAGGCCAAGAAAGAGGAGCACTGCAGGAGAACTAAGGGCCCACAAGAGCTAAGACCTAAAACACAGGGGGGGGAATGGGAGAAGTGAAGGCGACAGATTGCCTCAGTAAAAAGGAAGGAAACCAAAACAAGAAAATATGAAATGTAAGAACGAAAGAAAGAGGTAGAGAGAGGAGGCAAAAAATAAAAAAAGAATTTGTGTTAAGTAGGTGTGTTTCGAAGTTTGTAGCATTTGACAATGTAATGGGAAAGGACAGGCATCTACAAAGACAAGCCTGGACTTAAGGAGAGTTGTGTATAATGGGGATTACAATTTCCAACTTAATATTCAACATTTCTTTTAATAACGTTACCTCCTGAAGTTGAACTTCATATAATAATCCGATGTTTTACTCTTGAAATGAGACAGCTGCAAAGCGTGATCAACATATTTAAATTCATCGGTTACTCTACTGTGGAGACAATGGAGGACCCTATAGTGGTGTAGCATCTTAGTTAAATTAGGTATACATTTAAAAATATTCTAATTGATGAAGATAACATTTTTGCAATAGAACATTGACAAACGTCTCATGGCCAACTAGTGTAGGAACTGGATATTGTCCCCCGAGGAAAACATATTTGAGTCAATTCCTCTTACATAGGATATTAAGCAGAAAATTCCAACAATTCTAGTTGGGAGATTTTAAGTCATTACCCTGCATATCTTTAAACTGTGGTGCTGGATTCAACTGGGTGACTTAAAAGGAAAAAAACTATTTAATATCATGACAGCCAGGATACTTGTCATTCAAGGCCCATTCTTTAAATCGTTTATATTGCGAACCTCACCCAGGAACCACCAGATATAGTCCTGACCAACTCCAGTGGACTGTGACTCTTCAGTGTCATATCTCTCCTAGTTGAAAACGTAGGATTGACATATTACTGTTATTAATACAACTACAAACTTCTCATTTAGAATACCTGTAACCTCCTGAAACCCAATCTTACACCTAGGGATTTGTCCCCTTCAGGGCATTTCTGGGTGGAAGATTGAAATTGTTGTCGTGGAAAATCTACCTTCCAATACATTTGATGACGAGAATCAGTCCTTTCACAATTCGATTAATTGAAGCTACTAATGCCAACTTGGCCAATTAGCTTCCACAAAGATCTATCAAACAATATAAACCTACATAGGGAAATTAGAGACGCTTTAAGAATTTATTCAAGGCGAATGTCGAAAGGCATCTTCAGACGCGGACAACCACCAGTAGCTACATTGGCACAGATTGAAGCAAGAATAATTAACATGATTAGCTATCACAACGCTGACTTATGGAAAATCGCTATTTGTTCTCCACGCTAATTCAGTATAAACGGTGAGCCAGCAAAATTTTGCGAGCAAGATCTGACAAACTGTTAGGGCAAAGCACAAGGCTCCTAACTACCTAATTCATACCTTCATTGATGTAGGATGATGAAGATGTTGAGATTAAAACTTGATGATCCCAAAGGAGGACCAGGCTAATTTGATGGGTGATGTATGGGAGAAAATTCTCTCCACAATAACAGTCGTCGATTTAACAATAATCATTATCAGTTGGTATATGAATGGAGAGATGAGAACTTAGATTGTCTACAACCACTACCTTCCATCGATACATTCAACTCTTGAAGAAGCCCACCCGCTTACTAGCCTATTACAATACTTGAGATGAGTCAGGTTATTAGGAAGAATGCGAAATAGAGCCTGGAATTCTGGAATAACAATGAAACAAATAAAGTTCCTCCCAAAAAATTGTACAACAGTCTTTGGTTAATTTCTTTAATGCCATTAGGCCTACAGGACTTTTCCAGTGGATTTTAAGACTGCTAGGATGATCTTTCTTGCCTAAACCAATAAAGGACATCCACACAACCAGGGAAACTATAGACCTATATCTTTACTTGAAGTCACTGGTAAAGTTCTTGAGAAAATCCTTTCAACAGACTGAATACAATATGGAGTTTAATCACAATTTTACTGGAAAAACAATTTGGCTTTAGAAACACAGACGGGACCCATCATGCAATAAATATTATTTTCGATACTGTAGCAAGTCTAAAAACACAGGCCAATCTTGCCCTAATTGCCACCAGAGATGTCTTAAACTTTTGATAGGCTTATGGCATGATGGTTTATTACAACTCATTGGACATACCAGACCTTAACTGACTTTTCTCAGATAATATATTAATTTCTTAATCTCAAAGAAAATCATTCCACTTTCATGGCAGGTCGTACAAGAGGCATTTTTATAAAAACAGCGGGTGTCCCACAAGGTTCTTGTTATTAGTCCAATTCTCATTTCAACTTTATGTGAATGACATTCCTCAACCAGAGCCTTAATGATACAATTATTACAAACTAAGTTTACATGATGATGTTATTCATGTTGTTCTCATCAACTCTGGTAACAGGTGAAAATACAAGTATGAGAGCGCCATAGAAAAAATGAATATTGAACTTGTTCGAACATCTAATTGGGAAAAGAAATGGAGAAGAATTACGACTAATCCTGAGAAATTCCTTGTTAGCACATAGGATGTTTTGTTTTTTTTTTTTTTTTTACATCAACCATCGAAGATAAAGGGGGTATCTCCATCAGAGGTACACCTGTAGCATTAGAAACCCCAACAAGATCTTGGGAGCTGAAATAGACAGGCTGCTGCCTCCACTCACATCTCATGTAACTAAAAAGTCAACATAGCCAAAGCCGGTCCTTAGCTGTCTCTTTCAATTTCAATCAGCCCTCCACATGTCAAAAATCATCTATATAAATTGATAACTAAGACCTATACTCGAATAATCCATGTGTTTCCAATGACATTAACAACAAAGACCATCATGCTACAGTTATATACAAGGGTCCAGATAGAGCTTTCCACTTCATTAGGGGTCCAGGAGAGAGACCAGAGTTAAAATGGGCAGATTTACATGTACAACAAGATATTACTGCCTTAAATGTACACCTTGAACCCTGAAAAAGGAAACAACTGTATGCAAATGCAAGAACTCTAATGACAGATAGAGGAACATCCTCTACAAGGTTGTAAATACCAGGATTATAATCATCAAATAACTCTCCTCATAGGACTCAAAGATGACCCCTCCCCCCCCCCCCACTGCGGGTCAGTCGTTGTTTTCATAAAGATGATTACATCGGACCCAATGTTTTATATTGAGCAACCTCCTGATGAAGATATTTGGGTAACACCAGAACCCTTCAATGTTTACTGAGAAATCATCGCCCCCAATTAGGGAGACATCTTATATAACATTCTACTGTAAAAAATTATGCTAAATTTACTATGGCGGGACACCACCTGTAAGAAGCCATTGTCAAGTAATTCTGTATAATTGGCCAGGGAAATTATTGCCTTCATTGTCGCTAAATATCCGTTGTGCAATCGCAAAAAAAGGCAAATTGCAACTTGTATAATTACTACAAATTCAAAGTCAGTACTATATAATCAGTTATTACTATGTGACTCGGTGGTAATGGGTTAGCGTTGTATTATACCCTTTAGAATATTTTATTATTTCTCATACACCTTTCTAAATTATGCTGCTCCATGTTTGTTAGTAGCTAGTGAAAGCTTCTCTTCCGACCCTTGGAGTTAATGCAAATTGAAGCTATCAGGATTATTCTTGGCTGTCCCAGATCTACAAAAGTTTCTTAACATGAGAAGGAGCTTGGTAATTTATTGTATCAGTGATAGGATTGTTGAAATTAACACTTGTACTCGGTATTAGAATGTTGAGAAACGAACCAGACACTGTCACAGTGAATCTTTACCAAGTGTCTAGAGGTAAATACACATCAGATCTAAATGGATTTGTGAAAAACGTGCAATTGCATTAAGTTTTATAACCTGCATGAACTGTATCCTGTAGGCCAACAATGAGCATTTCACCCCTCCATGGAAGATGCTGTCATTTAATATCACTCCTACATGTTCCTCCCAAGAAAGGAACTCATTGTAGTAATCCCTTCTTAAAATCTCTGGTTAGAGCAACTGTCAAGAAAGAAAATTTCTCACCTAGTCTGCGTAGTAACAAGTTATCACAAGTTATTACACTGATGGATCTAAACAGGAGTTTTCTGGCAGGGCCTGCATCTGCTCTTGTTGCCACTCCTAGTTAAGAACGATAATAAATTTGTTGAGTTGCATAAGATTAAAGAATTAACAATGGGCGTCTACACTGCTACTGAATTGTTGCAATCCTAATGGCGCTAAGCTAAACCTTTGACACTGAGGCTTGACTCTATCTCAATACTGAGTTCTATGTCATTCATTGAAATAGGAGCTTGGTATATAATGACTCCATCAACATTGGCTCATTGGGGAAGCCCAGGTATAGATATTCAAATACTTAGGGACAAAGGATTTTATGTACAATTGCCTATGGATCCCATCACCACATTGGATTATCCTTGATAAACGTTGATTATGTAGCCAAGAAGAGATCGAGAAGGAGAATGATAGAATAATACTTTGGTATAACTGTGTCTAGCATTAAGAATAATATTAGAGAGAAGCTAAAAATGAAAATGATGTTATTGGAATGCAGTTACAAGCTGAGTAGATTATAACCCACTATGATATCATGAACGTAGATGGTATTGTTTATGGAGCAACTTGCAATGTGAACAGACTGACTGATGTTGTTTTTTTTTTCCACCTTTTTTGGAAGTACAGTGCCTGCACTCTGAAGGAAGGGTGGAGATGGGAAGTACAGTGCCTGCACTCGGAAGCAGGGGTGAAGGTGGGAAGTACTGTGCCTGTATTCTGAAAGGTGGGTGTACAGTGCATCTATTTCTAAAGGTGGGGTGGAGTTGGGAAGTATGTGCCATGCACTCTGAAGGAGGGTTGGAGTTAGGGAAGTACAGTGCCTGAGCTCTGAAGGTGGGTTGGAGGTGGGAAGTACAGTGTCCACACTCTGAAGGA